ATCGAGCTCACTTTTGACTGTTAGCTGTCTTTCATGGGGTTATCATGCTCTGTGGTGAAGAAAACTTTAAATTGGCCCCCACATTGCATTTTGCAGAAAGCATTTTCGATGCTATAACTCACATTATCATCTCATTCAGGCTTGAGGTGGCTCCTACTCCATCTCTGTCCTTCCTGTCTGGGCCACATTACTAGTGTGAGCCAAAGGGGGCAGCTGATTGTCCAGAGTGGCTGTTTTTGATGTGTGTAGGTGATCTTGGGTGTGATGGCGGGCGTGTCCACAGTAGTGTGCAAGTGGACATGGTTTTGTGCGTCAATGTAAGAGTCTATGTGATAGCTGGTTCAAATGTTGATCAGCTTGAATTTTTGAGTATTGATACGTATGATCTACCGATCATACGTGAGCCCTTTTTACGCTTTTGTTTGGAATGATAAAAATTGTGGGATGCAAACCCTCTGAGCAGAAGAACATTTGGATTCTAACTCAACTAGTCTCCTAAGTTAAAGCAAATAGACTTCACAGTGTTGTTTTTCTTGCTGCATTCTGGAGATTCTGATCATATTCAGATTCGGAGTCTCTTCACTTTGATGTACTACATATCCTGGAACATATAAGTTTGTCTCTTCTCCAAATGTGAACAACTCTCAGATCTTTCTGTCTAGTGGGTTTAACTTATTTTTCCCCAGTGTGCAACATTTAAGATTATTTTATTATTTTATGGGTGTGGGTGTTTTGCTTGCATGTGTGTCTGTGCACCACATGTATACATGGTGCTTCTAGAACCCAGAAGAATCCAGAAGAGGCAATCAGATCCTCTGGAAGTGCAGTTTCATACAATTCTGAGCTGCCATGTGAGTGGTGGAAATTGAACCCAGGTCCTCTAGTAGAGCAGTCAGTGCTCTTAACCACCTAGCCATCTCTCCAGACCACTATGAAGCATGCAGTCAACATTATACATAGAAAAAGTTAAAGCTTATTTCTATTAGAATTGATTATTAGTACATTAAAACAGAATGTTAACTGACTGATGGATTCCAGGAGAGAGAGAATCATTACTTTAAGGTGTCTATCCATTCATGACCTCACTATGTTCCAATAGATTGTTTCAATTCAGTGTTCACAGAGATGGTAATGGTTAAAATAAATGGGACACAAGATAAAACCGAAAGTCATGAATCTTAAAAGGGACTAGTAGGAATGGGGAAGGGTGGGGAGGATAATTCAGTCAAAACATATCCTACACATGTGTAGAATTGTCAATGAGCAAGACCAAATCAGTGCTTAAAAATGAAATCTTACAAATTTACTGAAGTTGTTTATATCTTGAACTTGTATATATCTTGATTATACAAACTTGTAAATATCTTCACCAGTGACTGCACAGCAGGATCACAGAGCATTTGCTAGCTTTCATAACCATTGTGACAAATACCTCAGAAAACAATTAAGAAGGAAGAGGATTATTTGGATGTTAAACTATAGCCCACTGGCTCCCATGTTTTGACAAAACATTCTAGTACTGAAGGTAGAGGTGACTTGCCTCATGGTGGCCAGGAGCAAGGGGAAGGAAAATCACTGTTTGTATGGCCTTTGTGTCCCTTTTCCTTTAATCCCTCCAGGTCTCCAGCCTGCTGGATCCAGCCAGACACTTCCAGGCTATTTCTTACCCCCTTAATTAATTCTATCTGGGCACATCCCCATCGACACAAGCCATGAGTTTTACTAATCTCCTATGTGTTTTTTCCATTCATCCAAGTGGAAATAAAGATTAACTCTCACAGTTCAGCCTACCAGTCAGTCACGTGAGTGGGTGAAAGACAGAGCCATAGTGTCATCAGTGTGAAAATTAGGAGTGAGGAGAAAAACCGCCCACGACTATGAGGAAAGTCCCAGACCGTTCTTAAGCTCTCCAAGTGTGGTTACTTTCAACAGCCCTTCCAACTTCATTTTCTCCCTAAGCAAAGAGTATAGCAGATGCTGGGGTGAATGGTCCAAGAAAAACAAAGGAGAGGAGAATTTCCTAGTGAGATGGGAAATCCTGTGAAATGATTCGAATAGGAAGAATGAGGAGATTTAAGGAAACTAAAAGACCAAATGAGGAAAGGGTAGGGAACCCGAAGAAGACAGAAGTTAAAGTTGCTTAGTTAACGGCTGAGATACTGTGAGGAAAGGAAATCTTTATGAGATTATGGTGGATGAAGACATGTGTGTGCCTGTGTGCGGTGTGTGTTTGTGTATGTGCATGTGCATGGGGGGGTCTGTGTGCTGTGTGTGTTTGTATGTGAGCATGTGGGGGGAGGTGTTATTGTGTGCAGTGTGTGCTTCTGTGCATGCATGTGTGTGTGTGGTTTGTGCGCATGTATGTGTCTGTGCTGGGGGGGATGTGTTTCTGTGTGTGCTTGTGAGGTATATGTGTATGTGCACGTGTGTGGGGTGAAATATATCTGTGTTGTATTTGTGACTGTGTGTTGGACTGGAGTAGTGGGGGGAGGTGTTGTGTGTGTGTAGTGGGGTGGGGTGTGAGTGTATGTGGTGGTCTTTTGTGTGTGAGAATGGGCTGTGTGTATATGCACCTTTGCAGTGTGTGGGTTGAGTGAGGTATGAGGGGGTTCTGGGACATGTGTGAATGTGTGAGGGTGTGTGTGGTGTGCTGTGTGTGTGTGTGTATGTGTGTGTATATGTGCTGGAGACAGAGAAAGATGGAGGAAAGGAATGTGGGAAAGGAGAAAGGGAAAGAGAGGGGTACGGGGTGGAGAGAGAGAATTGTTTTAGCTCTCATTTTCTCATAGTTGTAGTGTTATCAGCTTGTATGAGGCAAGGGCCAGGATGTTGGTAAAATTTTAATGTATATTTCTGTGCGCCCAGAAGGAACTTGAAAATGCTTTTTTTTTTAATCTCACACAGCAAGGTTAAATGTTAGCAAGAAAATCTGTTACGAGATATTTCCCTATAGTTTCATTTAAAACATTTTAATAAACTTGCTTTTTCTGTCATCTTGGAATTTATAAGAGAATATAATTTGTATTTCAAGGAAGAGCTCTACCTTGAAATAAGATTGCCCCTAGGGGACTACATCATTAATCTGTGTCAGAGATTGAGGTGTTAAGTAACATTTGAAACATGATGTTTAGACTGTAGATTTATGCAACAATTTATTTTGATTTGAGGAAAAACTTGCTCAGCACAACATCTGGAATTTAAACTGGAAATTTTTGTTTAATTGGGGATTAACTTAAGGCTCTCATTCTTCAGTTTTGTTCTTCCTTCCAACATATCACATGTTTGAAATATGGCACAGGAAATTAGTCTTGTTTCTCAACCATACAAATGAAAGAATAGTCATGATAGAAATAACTTGGCAATGGAAATTTAATGCAATGGAAACTAAAGTTACAGAATTAAAAATTAAAATCTGACAGGCTGATTGTATTATTTATATTATATATATTTCTTATATCATATATAATTTATCATATACTATATATTAGAAAACAACTGAGAAGAGCTGGACCAGGGCTGAACGACAAAGTCTAAGGACATTCTCCCAAACATGCAGAGTAATATAAACTTAAGTATTTGGAATATGTTTTAGCAGAAGGACTATCAAACAGAAGTTAAGAGCAGGAAGCTCAACAAACTAAGGAACACATTTCTGAACTCTCGCTTGATAATAAAGGCAATATTCCAGAGAAACAGCTTTAAAAAAATATTTAGTGAACTCAATGCCCATGTAAGAAAATAGAAAATCTTACCCTTTTGTTACAAAAGCAATTATGAAAGAAAAAGATTAAACCATCAGACTCTGGAAGACATAGGACATTATACTTAATAGCACAGAGAATGATTATTTAGGATATCAAAAACACTCCCTATAAAGGAAACAGTTAAGACATCTTTTATTAAATGTACTGTTGCAATAAAATAGTGAAATAGAAGGCAAGAACAGAAACAGTATCTGTCTGTGATATATAAAAAAGTTGTTAGCTCAGTGTGGTGATGATCACTTTTAAGACAAGCACTGGAGAGACAAAGGCAGGAGCATCCCTATTAGTTCCAGAACAGCCTGGTCTACATAGTGAGTACCAAGACAGCCAAATCTATACAGAAAGATCCTGTCTCCAAAACAAAAAAGAAAAACACAAAAAAGAAAGAAAAAAAAAGAAGTCTTTACAAACGTCAGGAAAAGTTGCCAGTATGAAAAATAGGTGCTCAGAGTATCCAAGCAGCTATAAACATCAAATAGTGCTTGCTAGCAATGAAGGAAGTGTGAAGGAAAAGAGAGGAAGAGTCTCAGCTTGTAGAAACTAATGACTGAAATGTTATGTAATGTTTTAAACCTTAGAGCTTTCCTTTTTTTGGTTTGAAAATTTTGTACATATATAGACTTTATTTTGTCATATCTACATTTCTCCTAAATCTTTAAGGACTTCCAAATGCCAATGTTTCCAGAGTGATGCTATTGCAAAGTAGTGAAACACTTTAGAAATTGGGCCTAATGGGTTCTTTTAAGTAATTCTGGAGGGTACCTTTGAGATGGTAGAATCTTAATTCTTTTTGGCTCCTCCCTTTTGATTACTAGTAGGGTGGTGAATGATTTACTCCATCCCTAATAAAATCATAAAACATTGGTTTGATATAGTTCCCAAAACTGCATGGCCAGTGTGGGCATGAACTGGACCCCCAATATTATGAGCTCATTAATTTTGATGAGTTGTATCTTAGGTATTGGTGTAAGAGACTAAGAGAAGCTCTGTCTGTTGATTTCCATGGAACTTATTTGAAAAAAAAAATACTTTGCCAAAGCACTAATCGAGGCTGGATAGATACTTTATTGAAAACAGCCCAAAAGCTGAAGAAGGAACTGTCCAGCAAAATTTACCTCCATTCTTGCTTTAGTTTTTTAATCTTTCTTTCTTTCTTTCTTTCTTTCTTTCTTTCTTTCTCTCTCTCTCTCTCTCTCTTTCTTTCTTTCTTTCTTTCTTTCTTTCTTTCTTTCTTTTCATCTCTCTCCTTCCCCCCACTCTCATTTTGAGATTACTTCAACAATATACAAAGAGCTACAGGTTAATAAGAAACGCTGAGAGTGGAGATATTGTCTTCCCCCTAGAGAAAACACAACAGATGGTTATTCAGTGCCAAATGGTCAGCCCTGAAAACATCCACTCTTGTTGTTTTTAAACTTTGTTGTGAGGAATGATGTTGGCACTTCATGTATTCAAATGCTTTCCCCGATTCTGAAACACACATATATATTTCTCTCTCTGAGAGAGAGAGAAAGAGAGAGAGAGAGAGAGAGAGAGAGAGAGAGAGAGAGAGAGGAGAGAGAGAGAACATTCTCCAGTTACAATTATCTGTTACTTCTTGGGATTATCGCAAGTCTCTAAAGATGAAAGCACACATAGTTCTGGCTACTGCATTTTATCTTTAGCTTTTGTCTGGCCTGAAGCCAACACAAGTTCTCCAATTACTATCTTTAATAATGATGCTAGAGCATTGTGGTTGCTGCCAAAAAAATGTAAACAAGTAAAATCTTCTTGTTTGGGGTGATAAGGCAATAATATATTGTTGTTTTTCCTGCTACATTCTAGCATGTGAGCTGAAACAGTTGGCTTTCTCAGTTGTTTGACTTCATTAATTAAAGGATAAAATGATAGATATATTCTCACAAAGCTTTTGGTTAACTAAGGACCATAATAAAGAGAAAGTCAGTATACATCTGACTCACGGTTTTTCCGTCTAAGCTTTTACCATTTTGTCATGTTGGATTGTCTTAAAATAAGCTCAAATGCTGGGGGAATGGAATGTCTCTAATAATGACTTCTAGAAAACTTTAACCCTTAGGGTCACATGATATATGATTTCATATCCAAGGGATGTACATGATGAAAGATGCATAATGAAAACAAATTATTTTATTTAGTTCAATTCCTTGGAGTAAAAACCTTTTGGATTCTGTTTCTAAAAGAAAAAAAAATTGATTCGATATGTGAAAGGGCTTAATTTCACTGTAATTATCGCAAGTTCTTCTTTTGGGTAAAAGGACCCTTCATCTGATTAATAATAATGGAGTAGGAGCCAGCTTGTCCCTCAGTTAATCTTCTACATATAAAACAGATCAAAACATCTTCCCCGTGAACTTTGAGTTACATGCTCAGAAAATAAAGTTAAATTGTTCAATGAAAATTACTTTTCAGGTAACAAAAGAGTTCAGCTCTGTTACTGGTCTTTAAAATCCTGTTTTTTTCTGAGGTGTTACTTCAGCTACATTGCAACTGAATTTTCCTGTCTAAATTAACTCTTACTTTTCCAAAGAAAATATATCACTGCTACAGTATATGCTTTGTATTTGTCTCATTTTTAAAGTATATTTTCATTTTAAAGATCTGCATTATAAAATACATACCATTTCACAGAAGGGCCCTTAAAGTTATTTGATTTTATATGACCACCGACCCCATTCACAAGTGAAATTGCGTTAACAATCTATATGCACAGGATGACTTTCATGTAGGATAAACTCCAGTGTAAGCCCCATAGATTCTTCTCCCACCCAGTACTTGAGGTGTCTGCGAGTATCCTCATTCTCCTCAGATCTACAGAACAGTCACATTTAGATGTTGCAGAGAAAATACTTGTCAGCATTGCTGTGAGTTCTGGGCAGCAGAAACACAAATTAGATTACATAGCTCTTTACCAACTCCTGAAGCATGTTGTTGTTCCATTTTAGTTTAACTCATTTAAAGGAAGAGTTCTGACTTACAGCATTCAACGTGAAACAGACTTGTTTGTCCACTTTAATCTCAATTATAAATTCATGACAGATGATAAATTTGTAAGAACACTAGGCTTGACATTCGCAGTGCATTTGAGATCCTTTGACCACACAAGCCTCATTTCTCTTATCTTCTTAGTCATTCAAATAAAGTTTCTTTGGGGTACACTGAAATATTTTACATTTATTTTTTAATTATTTAATACTAATTTAATATATTTAATCTTTTAATATTTTACAGATTGGTTGACAAAGAAACTGATTAGTAGGATTTATTTAGCCTAAATTCCTTTGACTATGAGTCTGAATTATGAATTAAAGATCTAATTATCATTAATAATAAAGAAAATATTGACAATATAAGTATCAACATAAAATTGTGAACTTTCAGTATGTTGTTCCTGAAATATCAAACAAATAATTTCACTCATTGGTGAAACTATGAAATTAGAGCCAAGATTTTCTCTAAATATGACCCAAGGAAAAAGCACAATATTACAGTTATTGGTTTTAAAATTATTTTAAAAAGTAATACTGAACTTCCAGGTTTCTCTTACTGTTTCCTGTGATGTAACTTCTGAAATAGGTTGAAATGAAAGATTATCTAAAATTATCCCTAACTATCTTGATTTATAAAGAAATAGCTATGTATTTTTATAGTTAAAACCTGTTGGTATTTAATTATTTTAACTATGCCATTTATTTTACTTGTACTTGAACACTTACTATTTCCATTCAGGCTCTACTTCTAAAAATTGCAGTTCTAAGTGATTTCCTTCAGAAATATGGTGACCTTGTCTATAATATCCAAAATCCAATAGTAATACTGAGATATAATACCTACTGCCAATGAGCCCTTTACTGGTATATTATTTCATAAAGTTTTAATTTCCCTATATTAGGTTCTTTTAACCACTCACATAGGACTCTGTGCTTCGGGGTGAAAGAATATTACTGAATATGTCTAATCCATAGCCATAAGGCCCATAATTAATTAAAGAGCCAAATGCTTTGGGGGAGGTATATAAATTATTTATGACATATGTGCCAACTAATCAAGATTAGATATGAAAGCTGATTACAAGGCAGTTTTTAGCTGTGTGTCTCTTTCCAAGCATGATGGGCATCTTTTGCTCTCTCCATGGACTTTTGTGTATTGTATATTATGTGCATCAATATGCAAGCGTTATATGCAATGTGCTGTTATAATATGATTTATATTTACAGTCAAAGTAAAGTTATCCTGTATACACATGCACAATTCTTGAATTATATGCGTTAGCTCCACTCACCCTTCTGTGATATTAACAAGTATTTCTCTCCCAATCTTTCTCATTAGTGACTCATGTTCCTTCACCTCTAAATGTCTGTTTTTCCCTTGTAACAGTCTCAGTTCTGGTGGTAGGTCAGAGCAAGAATGGGAGCACAGTGATGAGTAATGCCATTACCATCAAACCCGTTACTTCTTCTTGTAAGGGGCCTCCAGGATGTTGCCGTGGTGAAATGGTGCCAGGGGTCCTACAGCTTGAAGGTAAACAGATCCTTTTGATGTTGCCAGGCGGGCCAGAGCGCCCTGGGCTTGTATTTTGCATAACTGAGCCTTTGTTCCCTAGCCTATCCCGAAACCCCGGGCTCCAGCAGAATGGTATTAACCAATCAGTATCTGAGCCTCTCCACCCTGGAAAAGCAGCTGCCGCTCTGCTTCTCTCTCTCTCTCTCTCTCTCTCTCTCTCTCTCTCTCTCTCTCTCT